ACATGCAATGTTTGATGTTCTAGGTGCATCAGTAAGTGTTTCTTGATCAGCATCCCGAGCAACTGTTGATGCTGGCTTGGCGTGAACATGGGAATGAGTGAGAGGGGTGGAGACATATGTTGATTGTACTGAAAATGTTAAGAATGAGATGACATGTAGGGCGATTGATACACTAGACAAGCTACTGTGGTTTGTGAGTGTAAAGGCCTTGTAAGTCTGAGGGCAGCAAAGTGTTCAAGTTGTTGAAGTCACTCTATGGACTCAAACAGGCCTCACGGCAGTAGAACATCAAGCTCACCACTACCTTGATTGCCTCAGGTTTTCATCAAAGCACTATCCCTTTTTACCAAGTAAAATAATAAACAAATAGTAATACTACTTATATATGTGGATGATCTATTGTTGATTGGAGTGACTCTCATATGATTCAGGAAACTAAATAAGCTCTGCACCAAGATTTTAAGATCAAAGATTCGGGGGAACTTAGATATTTCCTTGGACTTGAGTTTGATAGAAGTGAGGAAGGCATTCTCATACATCAAAGGAAATATACCTTGGAGCTGACTGCAGACATGGGGTTAACAGGAGCTAAACTAGTCTCCACTCCAATGGAATTGAATTTAAAACTTACAAGTACCGAATTTGATAATAGTATACCATCTAAACATGATACACTTATAGAAGACTATGTTGGCTATCAAAGACTAGTTGGCAAATTACTTTATCTTACCACCACCAGGCCAGATATATCATTTGATGTACAAAGTATAAGTCAGCTCATGCATTCTCCAAAGAAATCACATTTAGATGTTGCTTTAAGGTTGGTGAGATATTTGAAAACTTCTACATGCTTGGGTATTCTAATGTCATTGGCTAGAGGTCATGACTTGAATGTGTTTGGTGATTCAGACTGGGGTTCTTGTATTAATAGTAGAATATATGTCAGTGGTTACTTATTTCAACACGGAGGTTCTCCCATATCATGGAAGTCTAAGAAATAACTTACAGTATTCAGAAGCTCTTCTGAAGTAGAATATATGGCAATGGCTTCAATAGTTGCTGAGAATGTATGGCTAGTTGGTTTGTTTTAGGATCTTGGTGTTTACATTTCCCTTCCCGTCTCTTTATATTCTGATAGTGCCTCAGCTCTTCAAATTGCTTCATATCCCGTTTTTCACGAACGAACAAAACATATTGACATCGATTGTCGTTTTACTAGAGAGAAAATTCAAGATGGTTTACTGGTACTTTCAATGCTTTTTTCTTTAGATTGGTGTGTGTCTAGATCCTTTTTGTAGTAATTTTAATATGTTTTTGTCTTTGTTTTGCATGAAAGTTATCCAAAACTGAAATGCAAAAGGCTGTGGAAATTGAGTGCAGATTTGACTCACGAAGGCATCGATAGACCGTAGGTGGTGACCGTCGATTGGAGGTTCACGCATCTGGAAGCAACTCGGGGAATTCTAACTTAGTTTGGGGCTACGGAAGGATAGATGGTCTGTCAATTAATCGATGGACTGTCTTGGCAATAGGTCGATGTGATCAGAGAATGTCCCAGTACCCGATGTTGAAGAAAAGATAAGTATGGAACGACGAGAAGCATCGACGGACCGTTGGTGATTCGATGGACCGTGTTGTTGGTCCGTCGATTGGATCAGAGAAGATGCAAAGTGAAGGCTAAAAAAAGATGCTAAGTATAGACCGACTGAGGAAGTCGACGGTCTGTTGTTTCATCGACGAACTATCTATGGGGGTCGTCTATTGAAGTCGGGTTTTGGAAAAACTTTCCTTATTTGAACTCCTTTTAATTTAGGACTCTACTTTATTATAAATAGGGGAAAACCTCGTTTTTGGGGTTCGATTCTTCTACTAATTTCATACTTTTGTTCTTGAAGTTTTTTTAAAAAACTTGGGCATTAATTCAAATTTCCGGATTTGGTTTTTAAGATAATTGTGTGATTTCAAGTTGAATTTATGGATGTTCTTTGAATTTGTCAAAGTAAGTTCATGATTTATTATTTATCAATTATGAATTGTGTTCTTCTAAGCATGGGTAACTAAATCTACAACTAGGATTGTGGGAACCATGGTGATTAACAAAATAAACCAAGATAAATAACAATTCTCAAATAGGTTATTGCATACATCGATAATTCTTTCGTTTAGAAATCTTTTTAACGAGTGCCCGCGTTAGAACTTGCTTGATTACTACTTGCCGGACCAAGGGGGTAATTTATAGGAAAAGAATTATCGACATAGATTTAGTGGATATTATCTAATAGTCTAGTTTGGATTGGTGCGACGTAATAACTAATACATACATCGAATATGATTTTTAATATGAAGTAAAGGTAAGGGTTAGTAACTTAGACACGTAGCCGAACCAAGGTACGAGGTGAAATTATCTAGATGCCGGACCAAGGATTTAGAGATACATAACTTATCACTTTGCAGACAAAACACTAGGAAAGAATTCTTATAGCTAGGATTATAGCGTTATGAACCTATGGGGAACACTTACACCCTAGCTTCTCTCACAACTTGATAAACACTAATAATTCATTCTTGCTACTTGTTTGACTTCACAACATTACAGCACTTTTGTTTCACAACCCCCCCCCCCCCCTTTAATTACAAGTTTTCGAAAAGGACTTGAGTAAATAGAGCTAATCGTAATTAAAGTTAAGTCTAAATCATTTTCCTCGTGGGATCGACCCCAATCTAATAGTTGGGTTTTTTACTTGATATGACCGCTTATATTTCATCAGAGAAGTGTAATTTGAGCGTATCACAAATGAACTTGGACGAGTTCCTGATGTTTATCTTATGTCCAAGCTAGGGATGAAGAACCTCTTCATAGCTCCTAGCTTGAAGTGGGTGTAAAGGAATTAAATAAATGTACCATTGTGCCTTAGTGCAGTTTGGTATCGTGAAGTTTGTTATTAGAGAATGACTGTTACATTATGCACTAGGTTGTTAGTGTTAGTTAAAATAGTTAGCTACACATTCAAGTTAGTTAGTTAGTTAGTTTGCTAAGTAGAGTTGATTAAGGAGCTTTGTATATAAACACATGTACTGCCCAAGTGAATAATAACACATATAGATTTCTCTCTGTAACACTCTCAATTTCCTTTTGATTATTCATGTGAATTCTACATTGTTGAAAGCATTCTCAACTGTTAAAACACCTCCCCCCACCCCCCCATCAGCCAACCTACCAGTCCCCCACCCCCCTAAAAAATATAGTAAGTTTTTCTACTCACAAACCAACATGAGAAAATAACTCAAAAATTTACTTATTTTTCAGAAAAACATTTGATTTCATACCAAACACCTTTAATTTTGTTTGACTTCCAATTTTCGCATAGTTCTTCTTTTTCCAATTCATCTTTTTTTCCCTTTCTACAGACCTATAATTTCATTGCAAGGAGCGGATTTTAATATCGTATCTATTTTCACTTCTTAGCATTAAATTTTTGGCTACTCATCGTAAATAAAGGTGGTTTCGTCCTTGAGGTAGGTTGCGCATCTGTGGGATAAAATGAGAATACTTGTTTCTTTGGGTGATTATTGTAACGCAGGCACTCCTATGCGTATTTGAAGTGTTATGGTGTTTCTATTTTCCCGTACATGTAAAGTATGATGAATAATGTGCTTATTATCTTTATTCATCTTCGATTGTAGAAAATAGATTCTTACCCTTTGCCTAAACCCTTTCTTGAGTTTTAAAACTATGTTTAGCATTTGTGTAATGTTCTAAATTAGTGTTTATAAAGTTATATACACCGTAAAAATAAAGTTTACAAGGCACGAAATCATCATTAAGAGCGTGAATCTGCCTTTGGAATACCCTCAAACCATCGAGTTTTTGGGCGTTACTATATATCTCAATTCTCATGTAACAAATTTAACCATACTAGTTAACTCATGATATATATAGTATGTTTTGGTATAATATCCTTTCAGTGCAAAACTCTGAACTACCAAATGCTCAATATTCTAGGTGTAGCTCTCTTAATATGTTCACACATCTATCTCAATATTCTCATTTACACTACTTGCATCTTCTAGACGCGAGAATTCTTGACCCCATACAACATAATTGGTCTGACAATCACTTTATAAATGTTACCTTAGTGGCACTTTCTTATCACTCAAGACATTGTATACATTGTCAGTCACCCATTTCCTTGGATTATCGATCTAGACAATAAATATTCCAACAGCTTCTTTATGTGGCTAAAGATTTTTCAAGAGAAACATTCCAAATCTCTTAGACGAATAGAACAACACCAGTATTCAAAAATTAAGTTTACTATTAGAGGTCACACCATTGAGTGGTCATCCAGATACAATTTTTGTATCATACCATACAGCTAAAATATCTTCACCTTCACATTCCTCAACCTGCAATTTTTGTATATTCCTTATGTACGAAAATTAAATGATTATTTATCAAAAACTGAATATTATCTTCTTTTTTTTTAGATGATCATGGTGTTTGGAACAGCTTGCGCACGCCTCAAGTAATGTCATGTGGTAACTCATACCTCAAATTTATCGTTCATGCGTACACCTCAAGTAATGTCATTTGATAACTGATACCTCAAATTTATCATACATACTAGGGGTGTCACATGGGCGAGTTGAGTCGAAATTAGAAATATTAAAATGGGTTAAATAAAAATCAGGTTGAGTCTTGATCCGCCCAAGTTTACTTTTGATACAAATGGGCTAAAAGACGAGTTGAGCCTTGACCAACACAGTTTGACCCGATTAATCTCTATAATTTAACATATTGATATTTAACTTTTATAATTACAATTTGAATTTCCGCTCAAGAATTTTTCATTAAAAAGTAACAAATTGATAGATAAACCTAAAAGATGTTAAATAGATAATAATTCATACCATCAATATAGGAACATATCTTAATAAAAAGTTCTTAAACAGATTGAAATTGGAGATTAAATTAGGCTCAATTGAAAATTCTCTCCAAATGAGTCAAGTCTGAATGAATTGAGATTGAACCCAATTCAAATTATATTGAATCCGTAAAATTCTGGGCGGGTTACCTATGTTTGGATTCATTTTTGACACCCCTAAATTTATATTACTAACTTCAAGCTTAAACAAGAACTAACGATATCTATGTCTGGAGAGAGTACAGTAGGACATACACCGAGTTGTAATTAAACACAAATAAAAATGATAAGTACTATCAGTTCTCCATACTCTTACTAGCATAAGAATCTCTACTAGCAAAATAACAAAAACGGACAGAAAGTTTCAAATATACGTCCTGTTCTTGAAGAGACCGTTATCTTTTCTTCTTATTCGTTTCTTTTGTATCCGAGACTAAGGCCTTGATGCAGAGTCGAGGCTTCGTAGTAACAAGTGCTCGAGGAAGAACTGATACACCAACTATGGCTGTCCTATCTGGTACTCCAGACAATGGAAGTACCTCAACAAGCACACAGATCTGCAAAAGAGAAGCTACATTCAGTACATAAAAGTTACAGAGGAGTAAAACGCTTATAACTTGTCATTGACTACAAAATAATTTTAACCTCTGGATCTTTCAAATCCACTATCGAATCTGGGACGACTTCTTTCACTGCTGCTGCTACGACGCTAAAGCATTTGTTGCGATCCAACAAAGCAAATATATCAGGATCACTGGAAGTGTTTCTTAGATTCTTCATCTCGGTTTCTTCAATCCCTCTCCTGTTATACCCAACTGCAAACTATAATGTCATTAGTTCTACAAGTTATATAAGAATGATCAACCCACAGAGAGCAGAATGCTTGAGCTAGTGAACATACTACTCAAATTCAATTCGATGTAATAGAAAGAAAAAAAAAAGGTTGAGCTACTGAATGTGATACTCATGTAAGAGAACTTGGGATTAGCTGGTACCAAAAAGTTACGAAAAGCAAGATTTACCTTAACAGTGTCTCCTGTCTCCTGCCTATTGTTCATAAACTGCTCAACAAGCTTTGTCACAATCTTCTTAAGTTCCTTCTCATCTAAACAGCATGTACCTTGAATTGGTAATATCCGATTGCACCAACTGCATAACATGATAAAAGTCATGATCGTCTTAGTTTCTTTGGTACTAAAGTAATCTTCCGAGACAAGAAAGGATAGAAAGAAGAAAAGACAATTGTCTCCTGCTATAATTAGAAAGACCACAAGCATAACCACATAAAGCAATATTACATGTAGATAAGAGCTCAAAAATTGATCGAGAGCAACTCACAGAGGAGACTTCAATATTCCAGATTCTAGGGATTGAAAAATCTGTGAAACAATGTCAACAACTGCTGGAGACTTGTCGAATGGAAGTTTAAGGAGAACTAATCCGCTTCTCGTTAACTTAACAAGTGAGAGAATGTCACTTTTCTCCATAGAGGTACCAGATTCTGCATGCAGAAAACAAAGAACTGTTTGACACTTCCTAGTAAACCTTTGTGTCAGTAAGTCCACACAGATATCAGCACTACAACATACCCAGCGTAGTCCCACAAAAGTGGAGTCTCTGGAGGATAGATTGTATGCAAATCTTACCCCTACCTCAGAGTTAGAGAGGTTCTTTCAGATAGACCCTCCGCTCAAGAAAAAACAATCAAAAGCAGTCCCCAACTAAAAGTAAGGGAAGTACAAGAAACAACAAATAATAACAAAAACAACAAATAGTAACAAAACATAAACTACAAAAAACAATACGATTTTGAGGTACAAGGAACAAAACATAGTAACAGAATTTAAGGACAAGAAACTCTAGGGACAATACTACGACTCTAATATGAACGGACAGCAAGACAGCAAGACAACATCCTGCTTCCACTAACCTTCTGCCCTAATTTGTGTCACACATACCCTACTATAAACACTAACAAAAAAAAAAGTCCACACAGATACCAAAATGTTGAAGAAGCATTAATACCCGAATTCACATGTTCATTAGCTGCGCCTTCTCTTGATCCTTTACATTCTTCATTAACATCATCTACACATGTTTTCCTTCGCTTAGCATCATGATTTGAAACAATATACTGACAGACAAACGGCAACAAATATATTTAGCATTCTTTCCAACACAAGGGTCACAATAGGTGCAATACAAAGTAACATGGATTTATAATGGAAACTTAAAGATCATGTGAATAGAAATGAATAAGTTTTCCATAGCCAGCTGTAAGTCACCAGAAAGGTGCATACTTCAGATCCAATGGAAAAACAAAATCAAAGGTCACTTGTCCAGAACTTTTTTGAAACAAAATAAATAAAAGAATTGCAAATACCAAAAAAAAAGGTAAACAAATAACCTTTTCAAGGATACTTATAGCTTCTTTCGTTGCACTTTTTTCCCTTTCTGAAGACAAAAGGAAAAAACTCTTAGAAATATCAAAGAGTAAACAAATAAACTTTTTGTATTATGACATGCTACGCTATATACAGTAGATGTGATTATCAGGCAAGTAATGGAGTTGTTCACTTATCCTTTTTAAGAAATAAGTTCAAAGTTTAAGAAAAGAATCCTAGTCAACACAGGATTAGACCTTTTAGTCATAGAGCACTAAAGACACTTTTTTTTTAATATCGTGATGTCTGGATCAGATTTTTTGGACCTCGACTAATTCCAAGGAAAACCTCCTACCAACAATAATAATCAGGTAACTCTATCCACCAAGACAAGGACATATGGAAGAAATCACCTAAAAGTTTCTTTCTCTGCTGGGATTTGAACCCGAGACCTCATGAGACACATTCTTTATCTAAGGTGGAACACATCGTTAATACCTAAAACTTGCCAGTTAATTTCGGTTAGACACTTGAACTACAGGTTGTTTCGAGTGAGCACCTAACTAGATGATATGATGTGTTCCTATAGTTCCAACTCAAACATTGGAAAAGCTTTTGCGCATGTTGTCAAGTTCCCATTCCACAGATAAATCAACCACTTGAAGCATCCCTTAGTTATATGCATTAGTCTCAATAAGCCGTAAATGTTATGTAGTGGAGCCTGATTAATTTTAGGTTTTCCTATTTATTCTCTATTTTAGGCTTTCCTATTTATTCTCTATTTTAGGTTTTCCTATTTATTCTCTGTAACCAAAAATACTCTGATTTATTAATATAAATATACCTCACCGCTGTGGAAGTTTACTCACGGGGTGTTACCACGAAATATTGGGTTTTCTCTTTCTTTCTCTAATCTCTCATCTGTTTTTCTTTGAAAGTTCTTGTGTTCTTCATTCATCTAGTGTGTGTGCGTGAATTCGATCCTAACAACTGATATCAAAGCAAAGGAGATTCAACACGATCACTGAAAATGGATAGTTCGAAGCTTGGAATCGAGAAGTTTGATGGATCCGATTTCAGTTTCTGGAAGATGCAGATCGAAGATTATCTGTACCAGAAAGATCTTCACGAACCGTTGACCGAGGTGAAGCCGGAATCCATGACGGAGGAGAAGTGGAAACTCAAGAATCGCCAGGCTCTAGGGTTGATCCGGTTGACTTTGTCAAGAAATGTGACGTTCAACATCGTGAAGGAGAAGACTACGTCTGGTCTGTTGAAGGCACTGTCAAACATGTATGAAAAACCATCGGCTATGAACAAGGTATATTTGATGCGTATATTGTTCAATTTACAGATGTCTGAAACTGGATCAATTTCTGATCATATAAACGAGTTCAATATGATTGTGAGTCAACTCAATTCTGTGGATATTAATTTCGAAGAAGAAATTAAGGCGTTGATTTTGTTGTCATCTCTGCCCGAGTCTTGGGATACTGTTGTTGCTGCGATTAGCAGTTCCCGTGGATCTGAGAAACTGAAGTTTGATGAAATCCGTGATGTTGTTCTTAGCGAAAGTATTCGCAAACAAGAAGTAGGATATTCATCGGGCAGTGCTCTCAGCGTTGATCGAAGGAGGAGAAGTAAGACGAAAGGCCAAAATCAACATGGTCGATCTAAATCAAAGAATCGAGGAAAATCCCTAAAAAGATCAAACGTGACTTGTTGGAACTGTGGAGAAAAAGGGCACTTTCGGATGAACTGTACAAAGCCAAAGAAGAAACAAATTCAGAAATTTGGAGATGACAATGATTCTATAAATTCAACAGAGGACATTGGGGATGCTCTAATCCTTAGTGTGAACAGCCGGTTGAATCATGGATTTTGGATTCTGGTGCATCTTTCCATTCGTCTCCAAGCAAGGAGTTGTTTCAAAATTTCAAATCTGGAAATTTTGGAAAAGTATATCTTGCTGACAATAAAGCCTTAGAGATTGAAGGAAAGGGGGATGTTTGCAAAAAGACCACTTCGGGAAACCATTGGACATTGGAGGATGTCAGATATATTCCTGGGATCAAGAAAAATTTGATCTTTGTTGGTTAGTTGGATAGCACGGGATATGCAGCAGAGTTTGGAAAAGGTTCGTGGAAGATCGTGAAAGGTTCTATGGTAGTAGCTCGTGATACCAAATCTGGAACCTTGTACACCACTGTAGGGTGTATAAACATGGCCGTTGTTGCTGAAGGTGCTTCCGGTTCATGTCTGTGGCACAACAGACTTGGACACGTAAGTACTAAAGGAATGAAGATGCTAGTTGTAAAACGAGCATTTGAGGGTCTGAAGTCTGTTGATATGGGTTTTTGCGAGAGCTGTGTTATGGGCAAACAGAAAAGAGTAAGCTTCACAAAGACTCCTAGAGAGCCAAAGAAAGTGCGGTTGGAAATGGTCCATACAGATGTTTGGGGACCATCTCCAGTATCATCACTTGGAGGATCCAGATTCTATGTTACCTTCATTGATGATTTCAGCAGGAAGGTATGGGTTTACTTCTTGAAGCATAAGTCAGATGTGTTTGCAACTTTCAAGAAGTGGAAAGCTGAAGTTGAGAATCAGACCGGTTTGAAAGTCAAATGCATAAGGTCTAACAATGGAGGAGAGTATGACAAATCAGAGTTCAAGGCATTCTTTGCAGCTGAGGGAATCAGATTGATGAGAACAGTTCCTGGTAAGGCAAAACAGAATAGGATTGCTGAGAGGATGAACAGAACATTGAATGAGCATGCAAGGAGTATGAGGATACACTGTGGACTGCCCAAAACACTTTGGGTGGATGCTATGAGCACAGCTGCATACTTGATCAACAGGGGACCATCAGTTCCTTTAGGGTTCAAGATTCCAGAGAAGGTGTGGACAGGAAAAGAACTCAAGTACTCACACTTGAGGACTTTTGGTTGCACTGCTTATGTTCATGTTGATCCAGAAAAGAGAGACAAGCTTTGATGCCAAGGATGTGAAGTGTTACTTCATAGGCTATGGTTCTGATTTGTTTGGTTACAGGTTTTGGGATGACAAGAACAGAAAGATCCTGAGACATTGTGACGTGACATTTGATGAGTCTGTCCTGTACAAGGACAGAGAGCAGAAGGTTCTAGAGATTACAAAGCAAGTGGGAGTTGAGGTTGAGTTGGAGAAGAGTAACCCCAGAGATGTCGAAGCAGATACTCAACCAACTCCTACTGAAGAATTTGAAGTGGAGCAAGTTACACCTGAGCAGGTGTTAAGGAGATCATCCAGATCCATCAGGGCACCAGATAGGTATTCACCTTCATTACACTATCTATTGCTGACTGATGAGGGGGAACTAGAGTCTTTTGATGAGGCCCTACAGGTGGAGGATTCGATCAAGTGGGAGCAAGCCATGGATGATGAGATGAGGTCACTTGAGAAGAACGACACATGGGTGTTGACTGGGCTACCTGCCGGGAAGAGAGCATTGCTGAACAAGTGGGTGTTCAGAATCAAGACTGAACCAGATGGCAAAAGAAGGTTCAAGGCTCGTTTAGTGGTTAAAGAATATTCACAAAGGAAAGGTATAGATTATGCTGAAATATTCTCTCCTATTGTGAAGTTAACCTCTATTCGAATTCTGTTGAGTGTTGTTGCATTGGAGAATTTGCATCTAGAGCAAATGGATGTAAAAACAACGTTTTTACATGGAGATCTGGACAAAGAGATCTATATGCAGCAACCGGAAGGATTTGTGGTTCCAGGCAAGGAACACATGGTGTGCAAGCTCACCAGGAGCTTGTATGGACTAAAGCAAGCACCAAGGCAGTGGTACAAGAAGTTTGACTCCTTCATGACCAAGAGTGGATTTTGCAAAGCTGAAAAGGATCCTTGTTGTTACTTCAAGAAATACACTGATTCATATGTCTTTCTACTCTTGTATGTGGATGATATGTTGATTGCAGGATCTAGTATGAGGGAGATTAACAATCTGAAGACAAGGTTGTCTGCAGCGTTTGAGATGAAAGATTTGGGTCCAGCAAAACAGATTTTGGGGATGAAGATTTCTCGGGATAGATCTGTTGGCACTTCAAATCTATCTCAGGAGTTGTACATTGAGAAGGTGCTGAGCAGATTCAGGGTTAATGATGCTAAACCCAGGACTACTCCATTGGCAAATCACTTTAAATTGTCAAAGGAGCAGTCACCCAAGACTACCGAGGAGCGTGATCACATAGCACTTGTTCCATATGCTTCAGCAGTTGGTAGTTTGATGTATGCTATGGTCTGCACTAAACCTGATATAGCACATGCAGTGGGAGTTGTTAGCAGGTACATGGGGAACCTTGGGAAAGAGCATTGGGAAGCTGTGAAGTGGCTTCTGAGATATCTGAGAGGTATATCCAGTACTTTACTTTGTTTTGGCAAAGGCAAGGTGACTCTACAGGGTTTTGTGGATGCTGATCTTGGTGGAGATGTTGACTCGAGCAAGAGTACATCCGGGTACATTTACACCATAGGTGGAACAGCAGTGAGTTGGATGTCCAGGCTTCAGAAGTGTGTTTCTCTTTCATCTATTGAAGCTCAGTATGTGGCAATAGCTGAAGCTGGGAAAGAGATGATATGTCTGGTAGATTATCTTGAGGAATTGGGCAAGAAGCAGAGCGAGAAGATTCTTTACTCAGATAGCCAGAGTGTCATACAGTTGGTGAAAAATCCAGTCTATCATTCGAAGACAAAGCACATCAGAAGGCGATACCATTTCACTCGCAGGGCAGTGGAGGATGCTGATATGTGCTTGGAGAAGATAGAGGGTGCAAAGAACCCGGCAGACATGTTGACGAAATGTGTTGATGTTGGGAAACTGAGGTTATGTAAAACCTCAGTTGGTCTTCTGTAGTTGTTGCTACAGATGTTGCGGCGCGGTAAAGATGTTGATGATGAAGAGATTTTTTTTGAGAATGTATTTTTTGGATGACTGAGTCAGTCTCCAAGTGGGAGAATTGTTAGGTAATGGAGCCTGATTAATTTTAGGTTTTCCAATTTATTCTCAATTTTAGGCTTTCCAATTTATTCTCTATTTTAGGTTTTCCTATTTATTCTCTGTAACCAAAAATACTCTGATTTATTAATATAAATATACCTCACTGCCGTGGAAGTTTACTCACGGAGTGTTACCACGAAATATTGAGTTTTCTCTTTCTCTCTCTAGATCTCTCATCTCTTTCTCTTGAAAGTTCTTGTGTTCTTCATTCATCTAGTGTGTGTGCGTGAATTCGATCCTAACAGTAAAACCTCATGTTTGTTCAACTTACGCTGATTTGTTAAATTAAAGGAGGTAATATATTATAGTGGTGAACTTATCTACGTAATAGGCGGTTGAGAACACTAGAAAAAAATCCAAAGTTTGAACCGAAAGTGTCTACCTAAGTATATTTTATAAATTTTTTCTCCTCGAGAATAGTACATGATTTTTAATGAGCTTCATACTAGGGGGCAAAAGCATACCAACAAAGCAGTGTAACACAAGCTCCACAAGTTGCTTAATTTCATGAATTGAGGATATGTTCGCTTTCTCACCTCTTCTATATTCTACAAGCACTCAAACATTCAAGCTAAAGGTCCATTCCATCTTTAGGCGCAAACTAATGTCATGTGTCAAGTGACATGACAGTCTTGTCAAATTCAAGGTCAACAAGATAACGTCACGTGTTCAAAAGATATGGCCCAAAGTGGAAGCCTTTAACTTTGAACAAACGGTACCCAACTAACAACTAGTTTTTGAAGAAATTTGCACAATAACTACCTGAAGAGGGTACCTAAAGGTAGCTTTTTAACGGACAAATACTACCACATAAACCTTTCCAAATTAAGTATCTGCTAAAACAAAAAGAATAAAGAGAAGTGGACACATCTTAGCTAGAAAGGTTAGATTCTTTTCTAGTGTAAGAAGGAATCTAATGAATCTTCATTCACACGCCACACCATTTGCCACATAATATCAACTACCAAACTCATTTATTTGAAAAGCTAAATCAAATTCAATCAATCAACTATTCCTAATTTCAAAATCAGTTGGGGGCAATTATTCCTTGGGGTACCTGCTATCTCCCACCAACACATGTAACGAGTAACTCAACTCTGTCAGCTATTTGGGGATACATGGGAAGAAATTACCTAGTATTTTTGTTGAGAAATGACCTTGTTACCTCAGATTCTCATCCATGGGTGGCTCGAAAGATTTTTTTTAAAAAAAAGACATGTGCCTTAGGCCCCCAAATTTAAGGGGCCTCATTTTTAATAATAATAGGTTACATGTTAGTATTTTTTAACAAATATTGAATACTATTTGTAGAAAAAAGTAAACTTTTCATGAAAATGGGGGAATTAATAGAAGAAATTTGACATATTTGGAGTACTATATCGCATGAAAAATAATTAAAAATAAGAATAGTTATATTAACTATTGAAAATTAGAAGAAATCAATTATATACAAGTTTTTAAAAATTCAAGTTTAAGGTCCTGTTTGCTTTTTGCTTTAGGTCACTAATGTGCTTGAGCTGCTTCTGTTCTCAGCTCACAACCACAGCGTCACACCCTAGAGTACAGGAAAATGCACACATTTTATCCAGCAAGAATACTTCTCTTTTTTCAATATGAGAAGAAATCTACTAAATCATCATTCAATAGCATATCATTTGCCACACAATTCCAGTCCCCTAACTAATATACTTGAAAAACTAAATCAATTCCAATCAATCAACTATTCCTCAATTCATGAATCAGTTGTATCAATTATTACTTAGGTACCTGCTATCTCCCACTAGTACAAGTAACGAGTAATTATGTCACCTACTTAGACATATGAGAAGAAATCACCTAGTGTTTTTGCTGATATTTGATCTTTAAGACCTCACTAAGCTCGCGATACCATTTTTTTTCAATATAAGAAGAAATCTACTGAATCTTTATTCAACAGAACACCATTTTCCACGCAATTCCAGTCCCTTAACAGATATACTTGAAAAGCTAAATCAATTTCAATCTATCAACTATTCCTTAATCCTAAACTGTCAGTACCCTAAACATCCATCAGCTAATTTTTTTCAATCCAAGACAAGTTCAGCAGATACTAAAATAAACAAAATTGAAAAATCTTTTAGCTCCGAATAGTCAAGAAATTGAAAAATCGAAGTAAGGAAAACTGACTGATTGGGCATGTAATGAGAAACCCAGAATGCGAATGGCGGAGTAAGGAAGAAGAAGCGTTGTAATCGAAACGAGGGATGCTTATCACAGAAGAATGCTGCTCCCATGGCTTCATCTCTTCAATTTTTTCTCCTTCTCCTTCTGCAGTTCTCCCTTCATCTTCAGCCATTTATTCTTCTTCTTCTGGTTTTCTGTCAGCAACCTTTTGTTTGCTCCATTTCTCCTATAGCCAATCCTATGTATTTTGAAGTACTAAAACAAAATGTATTTTTAAAATGAGGTTATTACCTAAAATAAGTTATTTATGTGATTATAATTAATTTGTATTGTAAAGAAAGGCTTAAATATAAAATTTCATTTAACTTATTTTCAATGACATTTAAATATTTTTAATGAAGTGATCGGATTAAAATTGTTCACATACAAAAAGTGATTTTTCAAAATTAATACTATTTTTAATTAAAAAATAATAATATGGATGAGCATTTTGTGAGACTAAGTCGCATAGATGAGCCAATTTTTTTTAACATATAGCATGTATGGTCATTTTCTCAAAATTTGATAACATATTTTAACTTTTTTTTATTTTAATTAAGAACAGAATAAAATTTAAAGTAAAATTATTATTAAATATCGAACTGTGATATTATTTTTAAAATTAGCTAAAAGTAAAACTAAAGTTATGCAAAGTGATTTGAGGTGAATTAAATAAATTGAGGTACACGAGTAATTGTTTTCTGCACTTTTATATTCAAAAACAAAGAGAGATATTTTAATAAAAATTTAGTAATATTTTAAATATAAAATTTACATATTTTATAATTTAGATATAAAATTCAAAAAATTGTTATATTTTAAGTGCATCTTTCATCATTAGTAAAATAATTTATTGACACACAAAAATCAATAATTTACTCTTAAGTCACAAAATTTAACTATAGTTTTCTTTCTTAACCCCAACTTCATATACAAGGAGCGGAGGGAATATTAATTTGAAATGAGACCAGAAATGAGACCATAAAAAATTGAAGGTCTAAAGCCATTGCTTTCATCGCGACAACATTCACATAAAATAAAAAATTTTGCTTTTACATAACATAATATAATACAATAAAATTTAAATTCAATCCAAACAAATATAATAATATATTACAACTGATAATAAACATTCAACTAAAAATAAAACTTGAAATGAAAAGTTGACAATAAAATTAATCACAGTAATCATTAACTCCCCCACAAAAAAAAGAACAATTCTATTTCTTGAGGTTCAGATGGTCTAATAATTCATTATTTTTTATTTTATGACATTAATTCATATTGTTGAATCCATCCCATTTTTTAGTCAACTTTAATTATTCAATTGGTACAAGCAATTGTTAAAAATGAATAGTAATTGGAATTGAAAATAAAAGATTTGGTAGTTGGCAAATGGTAAGATTTGCAACCATTTTTGACTTTGATATATTTACCTATGTCATTAGTAACATAAGCATGGTTTTATCCTTCTATAAATAGAGCATTCTTGCTCATTTGTAGAACACACCAAATTAGAGAGAAAAGTCATTTTGAGAGCAGAGTGAGGTATTTCATAGACTATACAAGAAAATAGTCTGTGAAGAAAAATAGAGTGTGAGCGATATTTCAGTAAGACGGAAACCAAAAGAGTGTTGTTCCTTTTGAGTGTGTAGTAGTCACTTTGAGTATTGTATTCGTGACTACACAGTGTAAAATTCCTTATTATAGTAATATCAATTGCTCCTCTTGGCCAGTAGTTTTTTCTCTTATTTAAAAAGATTTTCACGTAAAATTCTTGATGACGTTATTTTCCCATTTTATTTTCATTACTTTTACCATATATACTTTTGTGCTTGTCTGCGTTTTTCCAACACATATAACATAGCAAAACACATATAATTCATAATAACTCCAATAAAAAGCTTAATTACTAAACATTTTTTGGTGCCGAAGCAACGGAGACGGATCCATCGTAATGGCCGCAGCTAAACCTATCCGACTGCAAATGAAATTGCGCTTCCACTTATTGAAGTATAACCTCTTCAAGTGCCGGCTATGCGACTTGCAAGTCTTCGCCTCGGCTACCATTCCGATATATTATTTAACGTTACAGACAAATACAAAATCTAAAGTTGTATTGATACTCTAGAGTGTGATATATAATTGAGTAAATATACATATATTTATTTTAATATTTTAAATATTTAAATGAGATGGTAATTTAATTTAAAATGGCTCTATCAAAGTAGTTAGAGTTGTGAGTTGATCACTTTGAATTTACTATTAAAAATTATTCTACATGCTTGATGAAAAGCTTGCCGAGAAATTTATCATAATAAAATTGTAAAAGCTAGATGAATTTGTACCTATATAGAATAATTTAAAGGAATATCTATCACAATCCACTAGAAACAAATATAAAACTACTCTTTTCGACTAAGACTACAACATATAAAAATATCACCTAATATTTTTTGCACCTCTACTATAATTTTGAAAAGATCATAAATAATTGAGTATTTAAACTTTTAGAGGTGATCATCCGACATCAACAACTAATTTTAAAATGTATATGATATTACTATATGTTTAATATTTTAACTTTTTTTAATATATATAGTTTAAAATGTAAACAATGAATTCAATGAAACTCTCAGAATTCATTTTAAATGAGTCTTTTGAGTAAACATACTATGTAGTAATTAACAACCGATAAACCCTGGTCTTTATAAGTGTAGTACTTTTAGTTTTGAATCATAACAAAAAAATTTGAAGACTTTTGAAGCTCTTACTTTTATATGTATATTATACAGTAATTAGCGATAAATCATATTTTGTCAGCTTTTAATGTTAAAAAAATTTATACTTATTTTCTTCTCAATGCAAAAGATTATTAATAAATATAATTGCATATTAATTATTGCATCAATAACCTAAAATGTTTTTTGATACATATTCTAAATTGTCAACATTTTTGCAACACCTCTTAATATTCTCTTTCATCAGAGATACTCAGCGAATAAGTATCACAAAAATTTAGGAGTCATTTATTATTATGATGCTAAGACAAACCAATCTTCAAGGACTTGTTGCTTGCTTTTGTATATTGTTGCTTTCAACTGCACATGCAAGTGTATGTAATCGCGTAAGTAATATAGTGAATTTTAAAAAGAATCAAATTATTGATCCTAAAGGAATTGTCAATTAACTATGTTTACTAAATTATACTAATCTATTTATTTATTTAAGAGTGTCAAAAGAATGCAAGAATAAAATAATAAATTTACTTACAATGGTTGAAAACTTCCAGGGTTGTAGCATATATTGGATTTCATGTATCATATTTTTGGCTTAGAACTAATTTTAGTTGTCAAGTTACTGATTTATAGGGTTAATTGTATACACCTCTCCAAACTTATTAGATACCTAACTATATCGTTGAGCGGGGATAAGTAAACTAATTGGTGAGCATTTATATTTCATTCTATTTCGTAACAAAGCGAGTTGTTCGTCCGGGCGTCACTCTTGATAAAAATCGCCTCAATTTAATGTGTCGATCAAGCTCTTTATATTCTCTGATCTATCTAACCTCTCCTCTCTCGATTTTAAGATTAGACAATAGATTTATCTCATGGTGATCAGGCACGAAATACTAAAACAAGAATATAGAAGTAACTTATAATGACAACCAAAAATTAATTCAAAACGCCATTAATAATCAACATTCAATCTGTAGCTACAGCCCCAGAACAAGGGCTTTAGCTACTAATCTCTGAGAAAACAAGAAGAAGAAAAGAATCATAAAAAGTATTGATTACTTTCTCTTCCAAAGTACCTCCCCCTATCATTGAATACCTCCAATAACTATTTCTATGGACTATTAATAGATGTAGTTAACCCTAAATAGAATAATTTAGTTCAAAGCAAATTAGGAATCCAAAACCAAATGGAATTTGGTTCTTTTTACGCGTGAAACTGTTGCTGCCGTTACTGATTGTCACGAGAATATTTTTTAATTTCAAATCCAATTCTACTTCAACCAACATATATATTTTTTTTACAACATTTACTTCATTAAATTGTCTACTTGATTTTCTTCTTCAACCATATTTAATTCGTTTATCTCCAATCTTCTTCATTTTTTCACCAATTTAACCTACAAATATAATATACTATTTAGCACAATCTATAAAATTCATACTCAAAAAGGATATGTATAAATAATAAATGTGAGACAAATAATGATTAAAAATATATATATTGACCTCACATCACCACCCCACACTTAAACTTTTGCTCGTCCTCGAGCAGCATTAAAACCCATCTCAAATAAATCATACTAGGATTGTCATCAATTTGGTTAATACAAACAATTAGGTCATATACAAATTTCAAAACATAAAGAACAATTCTCAAACATTATGCAAGACATTCAAAAAACAACAAACATCTAACCTCCTAACATCAAGGAAAGACTTTAAACTCATCAAATTCAAGCTTAATCACCTATTCCCATCAAAGAAATCTAAATAAAATCACTTATCTATCATGAAACAAGTGCCAAAGAAATAGTCCCCACACATTTGATTCAAGAGATTGAATATAAATTAAGGACTTCGTATCAGAACAACTCTCACACTCACAAATAAAATTCACATGTATGCACAAAGAATAATAGGCTTGCCCATTATGTACATCTTCTCTAATTAAGCATGCTTGAATAAAATCAAATAGGACTTTAACAGGTTGTATGTAGGTTACGGGACAGGTAGAAAAACTATATATACTAACTTACACTTCCTTAAGCACTTTGCAATTTTAGACTTTATACCCATTATCTTCATTTCTTTATTTCAGCAATCTCTTCAACAATCATTTCACAAGTAATTCTCATCATCTCAAAATGTTTCAATCATTTTTATTTTTCAAAATTTTCCTCATAATAGTCATCCCCAACTTACGTATTTTACATGTGTTAAGGTGCACGATGTCCTTTGAAGGATCACGACCATCATCAAGTTAATTTATTTTTTATTTTTTTTTACATCACATTCTTTCAAAGAGGACTTTTTAGCATTTTGTAGTTGTCATTGATTACCTTTCACTCAACCATCCCTTTTTTCATAATTGATAATTAGAATAAGTCTATGCTAAAATTAGAAATTCAACAACATAGTCAAGGGCAAAATATGGCTACCATCAAAAGGCTATAGGCTCAAAAAGACTGACTAG